GCTGGCTATGTAAGCCAAGGAGAAACTGTGTGTGTGTGTGTGTGTGTGTGTGTGTGTGTGTGTGTGTGAGATTTCTTTCATTGTTATTACTGTTTATTTTTTATATAATATTCAAAACAAGGAAATTTTATTTGAAAATCACTATTATTGATTTTCTGGGTGGGAGAAAGATCAAGACATGAAGATTCTGACTTCAGGTGAGCAGGGATTGGGGAAAGCAAAGCATTTCTTATCAGTGTTGGTTTCTTGTTTTCTTTTGGGGCCACACCCAGCTATGGTTAGGGTTTACGCCTGGCTCTGCACTCAAACTACTCGTGGAGGTGCGTGGGGAATCACATGGGCGCGGAGGATCCGACACAGGTTAGCCCTGGGCAAGGCAAACACCCACTTGTACTATCGCTCCTGCCCTCAGTGTTTTGTCTTCAAATGGGCTTTTCACGGTCAATGGAAAAATAAAAAGAAGATAGCCAAAATATCCACCTTCTCATTCCATACAAAGCTTTTAAAGACTCAGGTCCAAGATGTATGTAGCCTTGTCTCATGCATGCACCTGCCACACATGCATGAGACGGTGGCTTTGGTCCTTAGTACATGCACGTGTGCGTGCTCATGCTCACACACACACACGCATGCATGCATGCATGAATGAATAACAATAATTTCAGGAAATGCTCATATAGTACTTACTGTATATTGGGCACTGTTCTAAGTGCTCTGCAAATAACTCCATGCATAGTTAGTTTTATCTTCACTTTAAAGATGAACAAATTATAGAGCCCATGACAAAACTAAGAACACTGGCCAGCTTACTGGGGGGGGAGGGATATGCTCCAGATTGCACTGAACTTTTGCCTCCCTCCCTCCCTCCCTTCCTTCCCCCATACCCCCATACCCATGTGCTCAGGGCTTACCCCTGGTCTTTAGCTCAGGGATCACTCTTGGAGGGTTCGAGGGAGAGACTATACGGGGTTCTGGGACTGAACCTGAGTCAGCTGCACACAAGGTAAGTGCCCTGCTGTACTATCTCTGGCCCCTTCTGCTGGTGCTTTGATCAGGCAGTACTCTGCAGGATGACAAAGGGTACATGGGAGAAGAGTTGAGCTAGAGGCTCTTCTGCTTATAACCCAGGGGTTTGGATACTTTCTGAGGATCTGTACTCATGAGGTGCTCAGTAAAAAGGCAGGGGGTGGTGGCAGCTAAAATGAGGCATAAGGGAGGTTTCGGAAGCACTACTCTGCTTTTCTCTGCAGTGCCAGGGATCAAACCCAGGTCTCATGCATGCACGGCCTACACTTTACCTCTGAGTCGCAGCCCTGTTTCTTGATTTGGATGCGGATAGTAGGGCTATGTGTGGTGGTTTGTTTTTTTTTTTTTTGCTTTTTGGGTCACACCTGGTGATGCACAGGGGTTACTCCTGACTCTGCACTCAGGAATTATTCCTGGCGGTGCTCGGGGGACCATATGAGATGCTGAATCCGTGTTGGCCATGTGCAAAGCAAACACCCTACCCTCTGTGCTATCACTTCAGTCCCCTATGTTTAGCTTTTGAATGCTCAGGCAGTTGTCGAGTTAACAACTGTTATGAATAAAGAAAGGATAGGATGGACCAGAAAGAGAGACAGCTCTCAGCAAGCTGAGCACATACTTTGCATGTGGGAGACTCATGTAGACTCAATCCCTGGCGCCGTGTGGTCCCCAAGCACTGCTGGGTGCAAGCTCCAAGAACAGGGATGGAAGTAATCCCCAGCACCCCTACCTCCCCCCCTCAAACAAAAAAAGACAAAAAGGAAGACTTCAGAGGATTTTTGTAATGCTACATCAGGAAGCCCAAATCTCAGCTGAGTTGCAGGTAACACAGCGGCCTGGGGACAGTGTCACTAGGGCCATGCCTGCCTGCACTGCAGTGCTCCTCCTCGCGCTTGCTCTGACCGAAACCATGCCCAGCTCTCGCCACTGCACATTAAACAAGAACGTCGGAGATGAGGCGGGCAGAGAACGTCGGAGATGAGGCGGGCAGCTGTTAGCTCGTGTCACCTCAGAGACACAGTCAGAGAGGCCACTGTGGCCGAGGGGCTGGGGCCCACACTCCCGTCCTCACACATTCAAGCATCAGTCACAACGTTTTAGCCTGAAATTTCCCCGTCCCACAGAAGTCAGCAGAAGACTCTGGGAACCTCCGTCTGGACCCACCACCCTTGGGACACTGCGCTGCCCTGGCCTTCTCTCTTTCCCACATGAAATATTTCACCAGTCTAAACATCAAGTTACAAACTTCACTTATTTTATAAACACTTCATCAATTATCTAAGGACAGTGAACATTGGTGTACCACCATCGTGTGTGTGTGTGTGTGTGTGTGTGTGTGTATCAACATAGAATATCACTGGCATACAGCACTGTTAACTGTAAAACTCATGCATAGAAATATAGCTGGTCTATGTATTTTTCCAGCTCCCCTCAAAGTAAGTGAACTTTTGTAAAATTAAGAGTAAATGCATTTAAAGTTTCACGTGTGGGGTCACAGCAATAGAGCAGTGGGAAGGGCACTTGCCTCTCATGTGACCGACCCGGATTCAAACTCTGGCATCCCATATGGTCTCCCAAACACTGTCAGGAGTGATTCCTGAGTGCAGGGCCAAGAGTAATTCCTGAGCATTGCTGGGTGTGGACTCCCCAAAAATAAAAAATAAAAGTGCCATTCCATTCAAACCTTTCCACAGTGAATGTACCCTTTCTCTTTCTTTTGCAATATGTGGAGGGAGTCTTTGAGTTCTTAGGGCAATCCTGACCCCAAGCAATTCTTATTTATTGGTTGGCTAGCTGGTTTGGGGATCATACCTGGCAGAGCTGGGAGGGGCCTATTCCTGGTGGTATTGGGGTCTACATGCAAAGCTTGTGCCCTTGAGCCCCTTGAGGCTTCTCCCTGGTCAGCCCAAAGATCTTTTTATTCAATCGTTTCAGCATCTACTGGTAATCAGTCTGGATCAATGATCAAATTAGTGTTGAAAAAAGGGGTCACAAGCAATGTTTACCATTTGGGGTGAATGAACTCAAGAGAAATCCTATTTTCTGCTCACTGGCATCTTTTTTGTTTGTTTTTGGGCCACACCTGGCAGTGCTCAGGTTACTCTTGGCTCTGCACTCAGGAATCACTCCTGGCAGTGCTCAGGGGACAATATGGGGTGCCAGGGATCGAATCCGGGTCCAACGCATGCAAGGCAGATGCCCTCCCCGCTGGACTATCGCTCCGGCCCCAGCATTGTTATTTCAGACCTGTAATATCAGAATTTCATCTGCTTGACTCCACCTGACAGTGACTCATAACACCTGTTTTACATTTCTCTCTGATCTTTATCCACCTGAGCAGGTACATTAAGTGGAAATAAACACAGGAATGCACTGGCTTAAGCAGTGACCCAAGAGTTACCTGTCTGTACAAGCCAGAGGCTGCCCAGCCCACAGAGGCCCCCCCGCCCCCAACTTTTCTATGGCAGTTCAACTTCCCCATCAGTAAACGTCTATTTTCCCAAAGATGGTTTTATATGCGCATCTGCTGCAGGCATCCCACGAGGGAAGAAAGGGGAACACAAAGCATTATAGCAGCACGATGGCTACAGGCTGCAAACCAGCTGTGGATCCGCGCCTGTGAACACCGTCTCTTCCAGTCAGCAGTGGTTTAGGGCCCAAGTACCATCCTCAGACCTTAAGAGTCCCTCTGGAGAGTCAGGTCAGAAAGCAGGAAACAGACACCCCAGTTCAGACTCTGGCCAAGTGAATGAAAGCCTTGCACGGGTGTGAGGATCATGCAACGGCAAGCTCTTCTGGGGATTTGGGAAACTCACTGAGAGCAGGGTGTATATCCCACGGATGGCATTTAAGAGCCCCTCTCATCATGCAATAGCTACATGCTTCTAACAACTGACTTCCAAGGTCTGGAACAAGACTAGCTTAAAGAATTAATTGCTGGACTGAAATGATGGCACAGAGGATAGGGTGTTTGCCTTGCATGCATCCAACCAGAGTTCAATTCCCAGCATCCCATGTGGTCCCCTGTGCCCCACCAGGAGTAATTCCTGAGTGGAGAACCAGGAGTAACCCCTGAGCACTGCTGGGTGTGGCCCCAAAACAACACCCACTGGGATGCTAAACAGACCCAGGAACTCTTATGTTCTCAGCAAGTTCTCCAGGACCTTCTGAATCAGAAGGGTCGGCGATCACATTTTGGGGATCACACCCTGAAAACTACAGGTTGTTCTGTCCTCATCTATGGCAGTCAAAGATTTGAATAAAAATGCCTTGGACTTCATGTGAAGGTGTCTAACCAAATCAAAGAATCAAACTCTGCGGTGATATAGGAAATGCTTGTGAGCAATGACCCTAACGGGAGCAACTCCAAGGATTAAAAACAAACCCAGCATGACCCAGTAACTCCCGTCTCGTGCACAGAGCCTCCCCTTCGGGTCCCTTATCAGCGTCTCCAGGAGGGCTCCAGGAACACAGGCCGGTGCTCCGGATGGCACCTGAACTGCTTCAACATTTCTGACCGCTTGAGATACTGCCTGATCCCAGTTTCCCCTCCACTGACAGCCAAGACTTAGCAAGGGGGGGCGTGCCCTTACAGGCCCGGGAGGGCTTGGTCACTGGCAGTCAGGAGCAATGAACATTAGTACTGACCACGGGGGACAGGGCAGACACAGACGGACCATTAGTCAGGGGCTCACTGGGAGCAGGGCCACAGCCTGCAGCGAGGGTGCAGGGTGTCAGAACAAGAGGGTGGCAAGGAGGAGGTGACTGTCACACCGTCTCTCCCACAGCCCAGGGAGCATTCTACCCAGGAAGCAGCAGCTAAGACACAGCTCTTGCCTTAATGGTACAAACGGGGTGCCAGTACTCCTAGGGAAGGTCGCCCCTCCGGCACCCAAGCATGCCCGCCAGTGCCCAATGGCCACCCTGGCTTGTGGCAAAGGGACCATCACAGCAGCTGGCACCCGGGCTCTTACCTGACTGGAACACGTATCTGGCCAATCCCTGCATTAGCTCTGCGGGCCAGGTTGGGGGTGCAGATTCCCCGGTTTCTCTCTTCAGACGAAATGTCAACTCAAAGCCAAAACCACTAGGTCCATCTGTTCCTGTAAATCTGAAAGGAATCAAAAGCAAATGATTTTAGTTCATCACATTAGGAGAAACACTCATAATTTTAGTTTTCCTAGCAGGGGAATGGGGAGAGAGTACAGCAGGTAAGGCATGTCCCCTGCACACAGCAAACCCAAGTTTGATGCCCAGAACTGCCTGCAGTCCCCAGTCCCTCCAGGAGTGACCCCTGAGTGCAGAGCCAGGAGTAAACCCTGAGCATCACTGGGTGGGCCCCTAACCCACCTCCACACACACAGAGACACACACAGACACAGAGACACAGACACAGACACACACACACACACACGGAGGTAAAACATAGTCACGACAAAATTTGCAGCAATGGCATGTCCTATGCAAACATGAGCCCACTGGAATAACACGTGCATGAACTCCTCAGCAACCAAACACAAACCCTGAAAAAAGGAGAATTCTGGCCGAGCAACAGAAGCAAGAGGCCGATTCAAAGGGCAGCCCAGGCCTCACTGGAAACTTCCACAGGGCAGCTTTCAACCACCCCCCCAATCTCTGCGGCCAGGCCGGGGACACAGGGCAGACAGTGATCTGGGTCTGACACCAGCCGACGCCTTACTGCCCTGCGGGGCTGTGCTCTGCCCAGCCAGCACGGGGACTGACAGTCCTCCTGAGACCTTCAGGACCTGTGGGCAGCGTGTTTCCTCCTCCGAGAGGCATCTAGCAATGCCAGAAACAGGCTCTCTTTTAAGTTTTCGTTTTGTTTTGCACTTTTTTTGGAGAACTGTGGGGCGTGGGCACACCTGGTGGTGCTCAGGGCTTTCTCCTGCCTCTGCACTCAGGACTCACTCTAGGTGGGGCTGATGAGACCATCTGGGGTGTCAGGGATGGAACCCGGCTTGGTCATGTGCAAAGCCAGAGCCCTGCCCGGTGCACTATCTCTTCAGCCTGCTCCCTCCTTCCTTCTTTTCTTCTTCTTTTTTTTGTTTTTTGTTTTTTGGATCACACCTGGCTCTGCACTCAGGAATTACTCCTGGCAGTGCTCTGGGGACCATATGCTGGAGATCGAACCTGGGCCGACCGCTTGCAAGGCAAACGTCCTACCCGCTGTGCTATCACTCCAGTCGCTCTTTCTTTTTTTAAGAGGCTGAGAATTAACTTTTTGTCTTTTGTTTTGTTGGGTCTGTGTTTGTTTACAGTGACAGGAATCAAACCCAGGGCCTTACATGAGTTATATCTCTGGCCCCATACACATAGATTTTGGAGGCCTGGCTGAAAAGAAAAAGAAAAAAAAAACTTGACAAGACACAGTATAATCTATTTTATTTCATTGTTGTTTTTTTTTTGGGGGGGGGGGAACTCATTTCAGAGAATGAAGAACTCCATGAAGCAAACAGGTGGGCTGGGCTTACAGGCTTGCGGGAGGCATGACCCGGGCCTGGGCAAGGCTGACCTCCAGCTCAAGCCCTACAAAGGTCCCGGGGTAAAGAGGTTTCAGGCAGCCTCCAATTAGCGGCGGCTTTGTACCGTGCATCAGACCCCAGCTCCGGGCTTTCATCTCGGGCCAAGAGAAATACGTGAATTCCTAACCACAAAAACTTGAAAAAGAGACTAAAAGCAGCCCATGCCTTCGGTTGTGCAATGGGGCAAAGATGCGGGTGCAGAGGGGCGGCCGCGCGGGGAGGGCACGCACAAGCACGCGCGTGCACGTGTCCGCCAGATGCGGCCAGCAGGGGTGCGGCCGGGACCGGGGGCTCCGGGCCAGCGCTGGGGTGGGCAGACCGGCCCTCCCTTGGCTGGTAGGGGGGTGGGGGGGGTGGGCCCAGCCAGATGGTCTCCACCTGCGGTGCACTACCACCCACCAGGCCGGGGTGGGGGCAGGGGCGGGGGCACCACCTCTACACCCTGGACCTCCAGTGTGGAGGGGCCCCGCCTCGGGATAAACACGCAGCCGGGATGGGGCAAAAGGGCTCGCGTGTCCAAAGCAGACCAGCCTACTGACGAGATCACTCAGACGTGAAAGGGCCCTGCAGGGGCCTGACGTGGCCTGAACCCCTTCAAGCGTGGACTTCTCCAGTCCACCGCCAGGCAGGACTGGAGGATGTAGACCCTTCCCGGGCAGCTGCTCTCCTGCGGCCCTGCCAACGAAGGGGTACCGAGGGGAGTGGAGGGTGCCGCAGAAGGTGGGCTGGGGCCAGAGAAAGAACCACGCATGGGGCCGGAGAGATAGCGCGGCAGGTACTGCGCCTGCACTGTGCCTGCACTGCCCGCAGACCCAACCCTGCACCCCATTCGGTCCCCTAAGTGCCACCGCCAGGGGTGATTCCTGAGGACAGAGCCTGGAGCCAGGAGTAACCCCGGAGCACAGCTAGGTGTGGCTCCAAAACAAAACAAAACGAAAAAAAAGGAACCATACTACCAGAAGGCTGCTCGGACGCTGGCCTGTGGTGGAATGTCTTCCCACGGAGACATGGATTTCCAAGGAATATACGACAGGTTCCCCCGGCCTGGCAGGGAGTTGGGAGGGAATCCAACCCTGGCTGCACAAGGATGGAGGAAGCAACCCTCAACACTTTCCCCAAGAAAAGCCAGCTCACTGAGAGAGGCGGGCGGGCAGACGGCTGTGCTCTGGAATTGTGCCAGCCACAGGAACGCCAACTCTGCTCACGGGAGAATCCTAAAAGTGGCTGCTGGACCACCAGGGCTAGCCCCCACATCTGCCCCAAAAACCTGGCTAAGAAACAGTGCTCCTTCGGGGCCCCAAAGCACCATGGTTCCGGGCCTGTGACAGGAGCCCAGGCGAGACTTTCTGGAAGGAACGTGGCGGGAGGGTCATCACAGCTGCCCAAGAGTTGGTCCCTCATGTTCACCCCCCCTTTCAGGACGAGGGAAATTTCCATCAGAGCCAGAGTGAGGGACCATGCCACACCGCCCGTGCTGGTGACCGCAGGGAGAATGCAGACCACACATGCACTGTCGGCAGAAACGTACAACGGCAGAGCTGCTCTGGAGGGCAGCTTGGCAGCGCCTCAAGAAGTTACTCACTCTATAGGATCCAACAGTTCCTGGTTTCCTGGTGTAGCTCCAGGAAAACCGAAAACATTTGTTCACGCCAAAACGTAAATGCTAATGCTGACAGTGGCAGTATTCATAATAGCCCCGAATGGAATCAGCCTCCGGTAGATAAATGGGTAAGCGAAAGGAAGCACATAGTCCTACAGGGAAATAAATACCATCTGATGAGAAAAGGACTTATGGATCAGTATTTACAATCGATGCCCACTACAAGGATAAACCCCCAAAACACCATGCTAAGCAAACAATGCCAGGGAAAAAGGCCACATATCATGATTCCACATGTGCGAGATTTTCAGAATAGATGAATCCAGAAACAAAAAATAGGTGAGGGGCTGGAGAGACAGCACAACAGGTAGGGTGTTTGCCTTGCACGCGGCCGACCCGGGTTTGATTCCCAGGATCCCATATGGTCCCCTGAGCACCGCCAGGGGTAATTCCTGAGCGCAGAGCCAGGAGTAGCCCCTGTGCATCGCCGGGTGTGACCCAAAAACGAAAAAAAAAAAAAAAACAAAAAAACAAACAGATGAAGAGTTACTGGGGCTAAGATGGGAGAGAGAATGTGAAGGGGATTCTTGGAGGGGGAGGAGGTAAGTTCTGGAATTAAATAGCTGGGATGGTGGCATGACCTTGCAACCAAACTAAAGCACTGAATTGTATACTTTACTTATTTATTTATTGTTTTTTTGGGTCACACCCAGCGATGCACAGGGGTTACTCCTGGCTCTTCACTCAGGAATTACTCTTGGCGGTGCTCAGGGGACCCTATGGGATGCTGAGAATCGAACCCGGGTCAGCCACATGCAAGGCAAATGCCCTACCCCTGTGCTATCGCTCCAGCCCCTGAATCGTATACTTTAGCAGGGCGAATTGCATAGCATACGAACTGTCTCCTTAACAAACAAACGTGGGCATCCTGGGCATACCTGAACGCCGCGAGACGAGGCCAACCCTGCCAAACATACCAGCTCTTCGCCTGGCTCTACAAGTGTGACAGAGGACCATGTCAGCACCAAGACCCCTGGTCATCACAACAGGTCAACTACAACGAAGGGAAGGAACTTGGGGAGGGAAGGAAGGGGGGATGGAATAAGAGAACAGACGGTAAACAATCAAAGTGCCCAATCATAAAGAACTGTTAGGTTAAAAAAAAAAAGCAAAAGAGGGGTTGGGGAAGAGAGCTCAAAGGGCTATGGTATGTGCTTTGTACACTGCAGGCCCAGGTTCAATCCCCAGCACTGCATGATCCCCTGAGCACAAAGCTGGGAGCAGTGTCTGAGCACTGCCGGGTATAAGACCCAAACAAAAACAAAGCAAACAAAAAAGCGAGAGGGTCGGAAGCAAAGGCTCAAGGTCTGGTGCTCACACTTTGCATGCAGGAGCTCAAGGTTCAACCCCCAGCACCCCAGCGGGCCTCCAGCCCCGAGTAATTAAATAGCTGGAATTAAATAGCTGGGATGGTGGCATGACCTTGCAACCAAACTAAAGCACTGAATTGTATACTTTACTTATTTACTTATTTATTTACTTATTATGCCCTGGGGATCTCTTAAGTACCACCAGGCATGGTCAAAACACCAAAGGAAAAAAAATAGTTACTAGTTTTTGAGGAAGAAGAAAATAAGGAAGGCAGAAAAAATGCTTGTGCCAAGGAAATACAGCTCAGGGTATATCTCATGCCTTTGCCTGTATGATCCCCAGCACCATCAAAAATTTAACACACACACACAACTTATGGTTCTCAATAGTTGGATATAAAAACAAAGATGTGGCTCAGGAATGTGGCTCGATAACCGAGCCATTACCGTGTGTGAGGCCCTGGCACTGAAAACAATCCAAGAGTACATCTGTGTATGTTTCCTAGCTCTCTCCAGTCACGGGCTACCCACGAGCAATGGCAATGCCTAGCACCAGACTGTGCCTTCTAAGTATCATCTTTGACCATAAGGAAGCAGA